GATCAGATTAGACGAATAATAAATTCTGCGGTAAGCGTTTATTGTGGATATGAGCCGGAGACCCATCAGAAGCGTTGAATAGCTCCGAGGTAGTATCTCTGAGCGTCTCTGGTCGAAAAATTTGTGTGGCATCCACATCGTCAGGTCAAGAAAGATTGAAAATTGGTGGGCGAAAATAGCTAGTAAAATGGAAATAGCTGCTTCATTAGAGAATGATCCGTCACTCACAACCGAAACGCAACTTGGAGCTTGGTGAACATTAGCTAGTGAAACAACAAGCGATGAAAACGGACAAGCCGCTGAAAATGCTGAACGGCTTAACCGCTGGGCGGAGTATTTCAACAAACAGTTTAGCTGGTATGTCACTAACCAAATTGATGCACAAGACCGGTTGTCCATTAGTCCTGCTTTGAGACTATATGGTCAGAAATTAGTTCAATTTTATTTATTCTCCCACACAGACAGTTGCTTGACTAATGGCGGTAGCAAGATAGAGCAGATAACTACACGCATTTCAAAGGCTCGAGCGGATCAGGTAGAACTGAAGTTCCTTTGGTGTCGACGTGGCGTTTCACCGGAGTTGCAGCGTACGTTGTGCCAACTCTGCTTTACGAATGAGAGACCTTGAATTTGGTGGTAGGCAGCTTTGCTATCTTTTGGTTCAGTGCCACGCCTAACCTAGCGGGGCCGTATGTAGTTCACTTCTCCAAGTCCCTGGGCATAGGTTACCGGTTTCTATCACTGAACAGCAGACCCTCGTGACTATAGGGGGTCCACTTCGTCTGTTGTTCATTACATAATGTGTAATAAAAAAGACATCCACCAGCTAGTGGTTTTCGACGATGGATGATCACGTAATTTGGTGCAGGCAAGATGGTTCTGTGGGTTCGAGGGAATTTACTGGAAAACGATCTATCACATCCGATGCACCATAGTAGCTCCCTCCGATTAAGACATTTGTTGCGTACACCTGCCGCGTTGTGCCTTGTTTGTAGCTGTCACCCCGGGCTCGAGGCCAACAGAGGACGTGGAGATGAGATATGAAGTGCATAGAGCGATTAGGTAGAGCAGGTCTCTTCCAGGTTTGGGTTTCAAAGACCGAATGATCGGTCGAAGACAGGACATGGCAGCAGTGGCGTCCTTATTATCATTTTTGTGTGAAGTCGAAATACTTGAAGCGATGTGTATGCTCAGTTGTAGTGTATTGACCACAAGTCCATCTTTCCCCTTTTCTCACATCGGGCCCGAATCAGTACTTACTTTGGGTGTAGTGTGAGCAGTTTGCTTCTCCGTATCCGGTGTAAGCGATAAAATATAGGGTCTATAGCCACGCATTTTATCTTCGGGTCATTGCCGAACAATGCAAGACCTTATAAATACTGATTGCTCAGTATTAATAATAGAATCACAAGCTAAAATCAGTTCGTTTATTTTTCCGTGTGAATCAGAATCAACACAATGCTGATACCTGCGGCTTGCTGTTTTCTATAAATGTGGTAAAAGTGAATCACGCCCTTGTTTTTCTTTACTTTTCAGACAGAAGATAGACCTGGATGTCCTGTGTATATCCCCAGACGCAATTCTCACAAACAGCAGCATTCCAAAGCATCGTCTAAAAGCTGAAATGTAACGCAGTACTTCATCTGGTCGATGGCATACGTGTAAAGTATTCCAATTTCCAATCAAATAAAAATCGTTCATACATAATGATCGCATTTCACCGGGTATATGAGGATGAATTGAGCTGTTTCTGCTACGGGAGTTTTGCTTATAGTGTTAAAAATAATCTGCAACGAGCTTTAGTTACCAACAGTTTGATCATCCAGCAGAAAAAAATTTCAAAGAAATATTGTATCATCAAAATTCTGTGCAGACATGTTTGAAAATAACGGTACATAGAGTAAGATTTTTTACAGCGGGCTCTGCGGTCCGACCGGGAAGCCATTGAAGACAAGAAAAGCATAAGAGAACATGAACCTGTTTTGGCTTTCAAGGAGGAGTTCGTTTTNGATCCTTTCATCGGTAACCTTCACAGAGTCCTTCAGTTTGATCTATGGAAGAAGAGCAAACAAAGATTGCGACAAATCATTTGAACAGAACAACCCACTAAAGAAACTTTGTTTGATGTGACCCCAAAATAATAGCAGTCCAGTTGGTGGGTGTGACAAAGCGACCACTAGTAATCCAAACAGTGGTAAGTAACTGGCGACGGCTTTTGACCAAACCCGGTGTTGTGTCCCAAATTTAGTAGGCAATGAGCACACAACGAATGAAGCAGTAGGTTTATTGTAACCGACAAATATGTAGCCGGTTCATAAACCGGGGAACAAGTGGGGACGATTAGCGTGTAGGAAGGCAGAGTCCGGTTCATACGTTTCACATGCGAATACCGTCAAGCCAGCATTCAAACAGTCAGTTAATCAATTTGACCACAGGCATGTATGAACACAAATCAGTGAGTTGTAAACCATAACATCACCTCTCCTTCCAGAGATTAAGTTAGGGTTGGCCTTTTCCCAGGGAAAAACACCAAATCATAAAATAGTGATGACTTGCGTAGTCTAACCAATGTCTTCCGGATCTGAGTAGAAGAATTTTGCATCTTCCCCTTCCTCCGAAGTGCAATCCCGGAATGATCTCTGATTCCATAGTCAATTTTGAGTTGAGACGAGCAAGGTTTGGGTGGCAGAATTTTGAGAAGCGACTCGTAAACCCGTTTTCCGGTCACTCTTGGTGAGCTCATGTTTTCAATTTTCAAGGGTAAAGCGAATCTAGACTCACTCCTCTCCTTTTCAATTTGATGAGTCCTTCCTGTATTATGAATTCCGTGATTATGTAAATCTGGCGCATTGTGGGTTTCCTCTGCTTTCTAGGTCTCTATAAACGGAACCAACGCATTCTGTTTTGCACATATTTTGGTGATAGGAATCGAATCAAGTGGCAAATGTTGAGTGCCTTCTTGAGGAGACTTGATGGGCGATTTCCAATGGAACGCGACCGTCGCTGTCACATGAATCAACATTGCACACGTTCTCAGCACTTTTTCTGTTTTCCACCGACTGGTTTGTCAGATTCGACTTTGTTGTGAGTTGTTTGCTAACCAAGGGTACAACCGAGACCTTTTGAGTTTGTGACTGAGAAATCTTATAAAGTTCACCTTTCTGTACAATCCGCTGCACAACATGTGTATTAGTGGAGGGCAAAGAAGGTTCAAGAGATGCAATACTTGTTCGAGAGCAGTGAGGCTCAACATTACGTGTATCATCAGACTCTGCCATCCTACACGCTGATCGTTCCTACTTGTTCCCCGGCTACATATTTGTCGGTTACAATAAACTTACTGCTTCATTCGTTGTGTGCTCATTGCCTACTAAATTTGGGACACAACAACGGGCATATAAACGTCCAGAATATTCTAAAAAATGTTTGCCGGTGAGTGAGAATCGATTTCCTAACTCAGAGGATCATGTGTTGTTCATCCGTCGTGTAACTGCGTGACGAAGCCCGATGCGCATCTGAAACTTGATAAACGGATTGAAAAGGAACCTTCTTTAGATTGTGCACAGTTCGAAGGAAAGATCAAAATCTGATACGGCTTCTTTGATCCTCCGAAGACAGGCCATAGCCCATCGGCCAGCCTTGTTGTGTAATGCTGGGACCCGTATTACAGACGTCACCAAATAGGTTGCCACGGCGAGCGACGTTCGCCGAGGCCGGTAGTGCGTGGAATAAAACCAAAGATGGTCAAGCTAATGCCTGGCATGAGGGTATGAAAACCCTAACTAGGAGTCTGGGTCACATAGGTACTGGACGGGGACCTCGGAATGATCGTACCGGATGGTTAGAGACACTAAGTGATATTACTGTGTCGTAAACAGTGGCGTTCGTGCATCTTCTCAATTTCTTTACAACAGTTCACTGAAATTCTCCATTTTATCTCCGATTCTACTTTCAACCTACCTGTCTCTCTCCTACTGTTCATCCAAATGGGCAACGAAAGTGCATGGTTAACGGTTGTTCAAACCGAAACGTCGTGTAATGCAAAAAGTTGGTTTCTATGTATAAACGGATATCCCAGAGTAACAATGTGCGGATTTCGTGGAGTAAAATCTTACATGCGGACCAACGATTTATTCTTGTTTTTGGCATTTCTGCTTCCGAATGACATGCCCGAATTTAGTTAAAACAACCTCTTTCTCTGTCTGATCCGCTACCTGAAGTTGCTCAATGGTACAAATTTCACCAGTACAAACTAGTGTTCTGCTGCAAAAAGTCATGAACAGGTTATTAGTTTTAGCTCCATCATACCACACTGTTTACCGTACGAAGCACACACCTTTGTGAGGGCCCGCTCTAAAATTCGGTTGTAAATTTTCTCGGTAATCGAGCCATTGGATCTATAGCTTTCCAGCGTTTTAACCAGCATTGCCTTAGCGTGAGTCAGTCGTTCGGTTGACCAGCCTCTTGCTTTCTCCTCATCTGTTATCCCAGAGGACGGATTTGTACTGGTAGCTCCTTTGTGGTTTGAGTTCTTTCCAGAAGCAGCAGCAGCGGACTGGGACTCGGACGTGTCCCGAAAATAGACAGACGTTTTAGATGTTGAAGGAACAGGAGGGGACGTTTTGCACACGTTGTTCAATGAGCCGGATGACTTCGACGAAGGAGCCGGGGCCACCGTTTTAGTCACTGCTATCGGGGACATTGAGTGGTCCGGATTAACACACATGTGACGTGTGGTAAACTGGAATAGGGAACTTTGACTGTTCTCTATATCTCGAAGTAAACTTGATGCTGCCGGTCGAAATGTCGTCCCCGATGTGGATGGTTGAGGCCTGTCAATACAGCGGAAGGGGTACATGTGAAGAAGTACAATATGCATACATACATACTTCAGATAAGCATACAGTTAAGATGATTTCTCAGCACTTAATTACTACATTGGATACCGGTTACTCGAAACACGGGATTATTGATTGATAAAATATTCTTTCGAGTACAAACCTTTATGTGCGAACAACAACAACATAAGGGGTAAACACCAGTTACGAGGATCTACTGGTAACTCACGGTAGTCACCAACCCATGAACTGGGACCTGAATTGACGAACCGCAAAGACCCCAATAGGATATGTACGTATGTATCGATTTGGACAACAGCGATCCTTCTCAATACTAACGGTGTTCGGTGATGACAGAGCTCGGACCTCGGATCAAAGCACGATACTGACAGCGACTTCAACTGCGTAAACAACACTGAAAATGAGTCAGTGCACTCTAGATCTACAAACTCTGTCTTTTCATTTCTACATCACGATCGACCAAACATATTTATCACAGGAGACCATTAAAGTAATTTAATGATTTTAAACTCTATGCATAACTGTATTGAACCGAGGAAGTAGTTATTGAAAGCAAGCTTCGTTTACCAATGTGTGCTCTCAATTTATAAACAATATTAGTCGCACTTCGTTGCATAACTTTTACTCCACGACGAAAGCTGTAAACCAAGCATTAGATAAGCTGTCACATGCAGCAGGCGTTACTGATCTCTTGGATCACCAAGTCCGAGTAGCGGGAACAGATGATTACGATGAATCGTCCAGGGAACGCCAAAGTACGACACAAAATAAATTTAAAGTTTTTTTCACATCCCTGTGACCAAATGATTGATGCTAAGATCGAAACTGATAAGAGCTTTCAGTGAAAGGATCAGTGCTATCAGTGTGGCCTCGCAGCTCAGCTGGTAGAGCGTGCGCTGTACAAAAAGTGTAGGCGGCGCTCAGGTGTGGGTTTGAATCCCACCGAGGCTACTGAACTTTCAACAATCTCAACATAAAACTTGAATCTGCCAGGCAATCAGTTAGCATACTATCTCCTTTTGTTCTTGTCGGGCCCATTGATTGATTGCCACTGAAAACGATGTCTGAAGGAATTTGAATAGATAATTCTGGTCAACCCTGATGGAAGATGTGGAATCAGATTAGACGAGCGAACGTTCTCGTAAATCTGAGCCTTAAGCTCGTCCAAGATATTGAATATCTCACCAATCAGTGGTCTTGATGAAGAAAAAACGACAAATCACGACCTACCAGAATAAAAACAGAGATAAGTGGTGTCTGCAATTTTAGTTCAAGAAGGAAATTGAAAAATGATGTTCAAAAATAGCTAGTAAAATGTAAATAGCAACTCCATCAGCGAATAGTGGAAGACTGTTTCAGCTGATACGCAAAAACTGGAGGTTGGTGAACACCTGCCGGTGAAACAACCTGCGATAGAAGTGGACAAGCTATTTACGACAGGTTTGACCGTTGGAAGCAGTAATTTAGTGAACAGGTGATCTAGCCTGATTATCTCTTCTGAAAATGCAGCTCTGTACATATGTGATGTTCGAACAGAAACAGAAGTGCAGTTTTTCGTAAAAGCTCCGAAGAGATGAAAAGCAGCAGGGCTCGACAGGTTTTATCCCACTCTTTCAAACACAAGCGTTGATAACCACAAAGGTCGCAAGAGTGTATTCTATCAGGAGGCTAATCACTGATCCTTCCAACTTTCAAGAAGGGATCTCGCAACGGCTGTGCGATAGGAGCAATGATCCTGGAGACTTAGTGTCGCCTACTCCGACTTTGAAACTAACCAGCCAGGAATCAATGTAGGTTGATTGCTTCTCCTAGTTGCGTGATCAATGACGGAAGCGAAGCAAAGGAGATAACCGCACGTACCGTGGGCAGGACTGAAGCAATGTTGATGTGATGTTTCATTAAAGTTGAGAGGTCGTGCATACTGTGCCACTGTTCGTTCGGTTCTGCTTGTAAGTAGTAGTTATGCTTGCACATAGAAGAAATTTGCCGACCAGAAGTTTCCGATTAACGATGTGTGTTGGGAGGGGGGTTATCATGCAGAAATTTGCAAGTGCAAGTGGAGTCAATGTACAAAGAAATGCACAGAGCTATTAAATAAAATGTTTCTCGTCTTGCAGGTTGGAATCCAAAAAAAACTGCAACCGGTTGGCAGGAGATAACAAAGGATGTGTGGTAACCAAGCGACAGCGTTAGCATTCACCCACTGTCCAGACAGAATACTTGAAACGGTATATATGCACCATAAGATTGTGTGCTCTGTGTTGACCACAGAGATTCAATACCTTTCGTCGTCCTCAAAATAGGTCCGATTTCGATCCACCTGACATATTGCCTCTAGCTTTGTACCGATTGTGAGTTTGACAGCGATAAGTGAAGTTCGCTGTGCGAGGATGATGAAGCTGGTTATGCTACGGTTAGCACAATTTTTCCAAGCGAGGGATCTACAGTCCAAACTGGGGGTGAATCGGTAGATATGCGCTATTGGTTTGCTCTTACGAGAATACAACTATATTCCAGGGTCTTACGAGTGTATGATTGGCTGAAGTGCGTGCGAAACCGAATTCTGGAGAATGGCCGAGCAAAACCACCAACATCTGACCGACAACGCTGCTCATAAAGTAATGGGTGAGTTAAATTCGAAAATCGAGGATGATGTGTGTTTGCTTACTGTGAATCGGTTGCGTGCGATGTTGAGTGCTCACGCTCATCGTTCGAGTCGACTTCTGCATTTAAGCTATAATCAAAGGAAAGGGGAAAGAGTATGTCATTATACTTGAGACAATAGGTTTGAACGTCTTTTTTAATATTTTAGTAGAAAAACGCTACTAGACGCTGTTGAAACAACCAAGCCCTTTACGTTGAAGTCCTACTCACAAGCAGTTTGGTGACCCCTGAAAAATTCAAGGGTCAAGGGGGAACAGATACAAGATCCCGCTAATAGCCTAGCTGTCGGAACAAGTGGGACCAGATACGGAGGTTGTCTAAAGGCTAACAGATTGTTTCTAGTTGTGGATCGCCATGTACGGAGATCCGGTATGCATCAGGACGATTCTACGCAGTGACATGGGTCCGCAGCTTCCTTGACCTATGGAGTGACGCAAGTGGCGGTACTCTCTCATTTTGAAGAACCTGCAGTCAGTTAGTCTGTCGTTCGTTTATCGACTGTCGCGGAGATCGACAAATCTCTGGAACTAGATTGTGGAAGCAGTGTTAAGGGAACCGACTGACGTCCTAGTCAGCTGGCCTTTTGATCAGTGGATGCAGATGTACGGACAAGTGACAGACTTGTTCGTGATGGGGCCTGCATAAGTAACCCACCAGCTGCCCTCATTGTTGAAGACTGAATGGCATTCGTATGCACCGATGGAACTTCTCGGTCGGTTTTTCAGATCTGAAAATGTGTGAATCGAAGTTTTTAGTGCTTTTAGGTCGTCATAGTATAGCAAGGAAATAGGTCCGTATAAAACCTTAATATCACATCAGAAGATTTCAATGCTGAAAGAAGAACGTTTATTGTGATGAATAAAGCCCCCCCCCCCTCGATAGAAAGCGGTACCATGAGGACAATCCTTTCTGTGTATTTTTGCAGGCATCTTTTATCTGCAACGAGCCATGAGTTCTGGAAACACTGTTTATTTGGATGGATGTGGTAAAACGCCATAAAAACCAAACGGCATCGCATCGAGGTTGGCATTTTGTGTGACGTGCTCACAACAGACTCGCGTTGCATAACCCTCATAATAAAATCAACAGATTCCACGTCTAGCATGTCCTACTATAGCAACCGGCTGTGCAGTATCGCGCACCCCCAGTATGCTAATCGTTCTGAAAATAACCACTTAAATACCACCTCCTCTTCTACTTTTCCACTCAAGACGTTGGTTGCAGCAACCTTAACTAATCTCGTTTTGACAAACTTAGGCCCCCTCCTATCCGTTAAGACCTCTTACCTGACCCTAAATCGTAGTCTCGATTAGTTAAAGCGTAGTTATGATACATACAATACGAAAAGAAACAGTGAGAAGCTTGAACAGTTCAATCTTGCAACATTTGGTCGACAGTGGACACAGGATTGACACAGAAACAGCATTTAGAAGTTTTTCACTGCACCTAAGAACCAAACCAAAGGATTACGTAAGATCCTAACAACTGCCGAATCTATAGCAATTACGATCATGAAGTCGGAGTTGTGCAAGCAACGTAATCTAGTTCAAGCGCTGCTGTTACCATGGCCATAAGAACAATTTCCCATATCTCTATATGACACTTTCTGTTCTCTTCCTCCCCACTTCCCATTTACTGTCCTTTTTCGCACACTTTCACACCTGTTTTATTTATTCTTGATTAACACCTTTCATATCGTGTCCATTTATATATTATATTTTTATTCGGCTTTCCCCCATCCAATTATCGTGACCTCACAGCTTGTTGTCAACCAAACATTTTGCACACAGACATTCATTCAATATATATATATATATATTTATAAAGAGAGCTTGATCTACGAGTAGTGAAATACGAAACCAACAACGTGCAACTGATTTTTATTTCCACACGTAAACAATTACACAGAACTGACAAACGTGCCAAAACTTATGAAGAAAAAAATCTGTAGAATGTTTTCATAGGTTGTGTGGGCATGTCACTCTACGATTACGCTGACCGAAGGAGGATAACCTCGGATTCCCCACCCAAGGTCTTTGGCTAGAAAGCCAACAGGACGGAGCTCAGAGTCCGCAGACCATTTGGGGCTCGTGTACATCGGATCACATGCCCTATGGACGAAGTTAAACGTCCAATACACCTCGATGCCCAATGCAGCCGGTGACCATTGCCACAACCA